TCTCTCTCTCTCTCTCTCTCTCTCTCTCTCTCTCTCTCGCTCGCTCTCTTTCTCTCTTTGTCTGGAAAACGATCGGTCCAGGCCGAATTCTCTCTCACAGAGACAAACAAACATTTGTACATGTGCATGCATTTTAACGGTAGAGACATCATCTATTTAGCAGCTACGTATCCTAATGTCATCATTCACTATACACGTATCTCGTTTATTAAAAAAATGAACGAAGGAATTCTCGAGATGAATCTTTCTCTCGATTGGCAAATAAACCTTTGCTGCTTTTAATATTATCTTACATCGGATTTATACTTTGTCCCTTAACACACATTTCCTCTCTTTTTGTAAAGAGAAATTACAATTCTTCGACATGCCTTTCTCATGAAAAAACTTCCGGGAAATGAAGGAGGATAGGTGGAGGCGTAGAAGAGGAGGAGGAGGAAGAAAGGGAGATGGTGCTGAAGGGCGCGACAAGAGGAGTGGAGAAGGAACTAAGGAAGGAAGAAAGGGGGGTGGGGGCAGTCGAGAAAGAGAGGAAAGTGGAAAATGCACTTTTTTTCTTGTCGTTGGTGCACATGCGCGCGCAATTGTGTATCTTCGCGTTATCTCACTTCCAAAATTGTTTTATCCAATGGAAATAAGACATCCGAGTGAATGTGTATAATGTGTGTACGTGTACACTCTTCGAGCGTGTTGCGTTAGTATGTGTATCGGTGTAATGAGTTATTGTTATGTGTGTATGTGTATGTATACACGCGTAAATATTTGTGTTTTGAGAGATAATGATTTTAGTGGTATAACTCTTTAATTAAACAATTAATTGCCCTGTATTACTTATCGTTAAACGATGATTTTTTTTATAACGCGGTATCGGACGTTGACTCTTCGCGCTTTTATAGAGACATCTTCATATCCTGATACAAGATTTGTCACTTTCTGGTTGATTCTCGTTTTGTTACATATGTTTTTTCTCTGTTTCTTGATTTATTTAATACGTCAACACCACTCCGAGTCGCGAGTTCTTCCGTTACACAGGTTGCATTCACTTTGATGTCATCATTGTGACGAATTCTGAAAAATACAACGAAAGAAATGTCTCGTTAGTTACGCGCGCGTTAGTTTACATCATACCTAAGCCTGCAAAATATGACAGTTCGGTAAAATAACGACGAAAAAGTAAACAGTCACGATATCTCTTATCGTGACGTCAAAAACGAAGAAGTTACAAGGAGATACACATGAACCAACTGTGCAAACTGTTTTATTAAAAATTGCATTAACTTGCAGAAAAAAAACGATTTTGTTGATTAAAGTTGTTTACGCGAATGTAAGAACTGTTGGCTAACGTAACGTTGGAAATTTCATTCAATTTTAACGTCATAATCTAAAAATTGTTTCAATATCTTTCTAAAATCGATATTTTAATTAAAATTATAAATTAAATATTCCTCCGTTATACCGTAAAGCGACGTATGCTTGAACGATTCTATATGCGACAGTAAGTTTCATTTTGTACTAATTAATAGATCAAGCAATGCAATACAACCTTCATAATTAACTTGGCCGTCGCCGTCGATATCGGCCTCCCGTATCATTTCATCTACTTCCTCATCGGTGAGTTTCTCGCCCAGATTTGTCATGACGTGTCTAAGTTCCGCCGCGGATATGAAACCATTTCCATCCTTATCGAACACTCTGAAGGCCTCTCTAATCTCTTCCTCGCTATCCGTGTCCTTCATTTTACGCGCCATCATGGTCAAGAACTCCGGGAAGTCGATTGTGCCGTTACCTAGAATTTCAAGATTTTCAATGTTGATTCTATCGAAACTCTGCTTATTTTCCTCTTTCGATAAGAAGGAAAAGAAGCTTCGACATCTTGGCGACAGAGTAGGGAAAAACAAGATCTCTTCCAGAAATATTAAACATGATATTTACATTTAAAATAAAAACGGTTGCAAGTGGAAATAGAGGAATGGAGCGAAGAAGCGGAGGTTGATATTTGTGCACAAAATAATTCGTGCGCGTATAAAAAGTTACACAAGGGATACATACCATCTGCATCCACTTCGTTAATCATGTCCTGTAGTTCAGCCTCTGTGGGATTTTGACCGAGGGACCGCATGACCGTGCCTAATTCTTTGGTGGTTATAGTGCCATCCCCGTCTTTATCGAAGAGCGAGAACGCCTCCTTAAACTCTGCGATTTGTTCTTCTGTGAGTTGATCAGCCTTTAAATAAAAAAACAAAACAACACAAAGCTTATATAACTCTCTCTCTCTCTCTCTCTCTCTCTCAATATTTCATAAATTACACGTACACGTTATCAATGAGTGCGGACGAGCGTAACATAGTTATTTTACAAATGTGTGAATTTTCAAACGCTATTCTCCAATTCTTATTTCAGCCTTTGATAAGAACAAACATTTTACTGCCGAGCCAGTTTCTTCGCAGACGGCAGTTTACGTCGTACGAGCGTCAGACAATTCCCGCGGAGTATCATTAAAACGTTACTCTTTCAGTTAACGTAACAAAAACAAGTTACGTTCCGCCTTAATTATCGGATTATCTCCAGAAATCTCAAGGCTGCACAAGTTTCGTAAACGCTTCCACTGACGCGTACCTACTCAAATATAATGCAAAGCGGCGAGATGCGTGATAATACCGGCAGAAATAGCACGATGATGCATACGCGCGGTTTAATTGCTACTGCATAAATAAGGAGTTCTCAGACTACTTCGAGGGGATCGCATGAATAATAACAAAGTGACCGGCCGCGTAATTCGTCGCAAACGCCGCGCGTACCTCGCGTCTCTACATACGTCTCGCGCGCGTAGTAAAAATAAATTTTGATTCTTCTCCAAAAGTGCGTGCATGTATTTAACGCAAAAGACTATCGGCACTTTTGTTTTTTTTTTTTATTATCAAACTATCAACGCGTGGAGAGCAACGACATGTGCCGTTCTACTCGGTGATTTATATAAAAACGTGACCGGGGGCCACTCCGCGCCGCGTTTTACAATATCATGCGACGGCTCTTAAAAACGTCTCCGGGAAATTGTGACAACGTGGAATCTTCAGAAGTAACGTGACACGATCTATTCTTGGACGCTAATTACAGACAGGTGCTGATTTAGCACCCGTTCGCTGTAAAGTGGTGTAAAGTCGCGGCGAAGTTAGTCCGCGAGATGTATCGATTTCTCGCGCAAAGACGGACGTCGTGCCGTATAAGTTCTACTGTAGCAACTTTAAGACCGGTCTTTATTACATACGCTTTTCCTCGGCTATCTTTATCGCCGTTATTTCTCGGTCAACTTCGAGGACGTATGTATATAGTGCCGCGAAAACGCAACGTCTTTCATCTTTCGAAAGTGGGTCTATTTTTCTTTTATTTTACACTGAGAACAACCGTACCAAATTTTAATATTTACTCGAACAGTACCAATTAAAAGGTTTACTTAATATTAAACAATTACAGTTAAATCAAATCAATGGTTTTTTGATGCCACATAAATATCTTTACAGTCGGTAAATATTTATAATAGTTGATGTTAAATATTCCAATGATTTATTAAAATTTAATACGGGTTTTCAGTGTACACTTTTTCCTCGAGTAAGATTTGTTGTGATTCATTATTTCGTTGCATTCCTCGCCTCAAAATACGCTGTTTAGTGTCATCCTGGCTTTCTTCCAGGTTCTGATTTTTTTGTAAACACAAAACTCCAGAGGATGGAAAATTCTCCGATTGCAGGAGCATCTCGAGATAAATGCCTGCGTTCACAGATAAGGCAGTTTTGCAAATAGCCGCGTCAGGAAAATGTTTATTTTACAACTGTTGGAAGTTTTCTTCGCTGAGGCAGGTTTATTCCTTCGGATCTAAAAGGATAATTCAATTCACACGAAGACAACTTCCAACCGAGTTGTAAAAAAAAAAAAAACATTCCGCTGAAAAAACGCAGTCACTGTTGTAACTAAAATTCTTCAATTTGATTGATCTTGTTCTTTGTTTCTCACTGGATCTAAATGTAATAAACCAATCATTCGAAGAATTCGACATGAATCGCAAAGCTGCTTTCTCCGCTGAACACGCAGCTATTCATATTGAAGAGAATCTCAAAACAGCCAAAAAAATATACCAAATAGCAGCCACTCGACGGAATGTCTGTGTACTCCGATTCTGTAACTCTTTAACTACAATTCTGTATCGTTATGTTATCGGTTTTTTTTTATTTTGTACAATATTTGCGCAACGATAATATAACCGTACACATTATCGTAAATATTTACAGGCTATCAGTAAGTCGTAACCTAAGCTTGAGTTTTTAAACCGTAACAAATTGATCGATCACAGCCAAATGTGAGAAAAAATATCGACTATGATCGATCAATCGTGATTAAAAACTTAAAAGCTTAGGTGTAACGGCTTGTTGTAGAAAGTCCGTTGTAGAAGCGGAAGCCCGACGACGCGACTCTACGAAGGATAACCTCACTTTTCGACCCGTCGGGCGGCGAGAAATATGGCTCCCCGGGTCGCGCGAAAGACCGCGCCGTGTCAGGGCAGGGCGAGTTTTCATGACGGAAAGGCCGCGCCGCGCGTTTTAGTTACGCGTTCCTAAATTACTAGAAATTCGTATGGTGTAATTCTAGTAGTTTCCGTAAAATGCGAGTAATAAGAGGCCTGTTTTTCTCTCTCTCTTTTTTTTTTTTTCCTTACAGGAAAACGTGCATCGTGAGCTTGACGGACGAAACGTGAATCGCGTCGGACGTCGTCAACGAGAAAACCCGCGTCGTGGAAGAAGAAAGGGGAGGGGAGGGGAGAAGACGAAAGGTGAGCTGGCGTAACGAGTTACGGCGGGCGCGTAGGGAACGTAAAAGGAGCGACGGTGAGGGAGCGCGAAAATCAATAGCGAACGACGAGATGTATCGCCGTTAACGTCTGATCGCTGCGGATAGAAAGGCGTCGCGCGCGCGAGAGAGAGAGAGAGAAAGAAAAAAAAGGAGCGGAGTCTGTTCCTCGGTCCTGCAGGCCTGTTCTCTTTAACTCGAGTGCTCGTTATCGTCATAACGTATCGCCCGCGCAACTCTTTCATTGTGGTGAAAAAGCTGCGCAACGGGCATATCAGATAACGACCCTCGCGAAGGAAACGTTGCGTTAAGAATTAACAGAGCCGACCTGGAACCGCGCTGAAACTTTCTTTGTCGGCTTTCGCCGAAATATCGAAATCGTCTTTGTCTATTCCCGGTCGAGTTCTAAAAAGCGGTACCCATGGCTACACGGACCTAAAGGCGGTCGGTTAACGCCACGGTACGCACGCGTTACGAGAAACCCGGCAGCGCCCTTAAGATGAGTATCGGGTGACCCGTATGGATTATGCAAAAGGAGCGGTCGGGCGTTCGTGCTCGCTCGCTTGCTCCGCTCTCGTATTTCGTGCTCCGATAGGTATCTATCTCCGCCCGCGATCGAAGGAGTAGAGGAAAGATCGCGGCGCGTGATAACGACGACGGCGGCGACGTCGCCGCCGCCGCCACTGCACCCGTCTTTCGATTCGTTCGAAATCTCTCGCCCGAGGTCGACGCGTAGATACATCATCGATCGAGGGGAATGACGTAAAGAGATCGGAGGACGTTTCTCTCTCTCTCTCTCTCGCGGTTATCGGAAAAAGTAACGAAATTCCGTCCCCTCGCGATTGAAAAATACTGCGCTCGCAGATGAAGCAACTTTTTTGAATTCTTCAATATACGGATCGGTTTACATCGAGATGTGTGTTCAGATTTCAAGAGGCGCCCAAGATGAATCGTATTGAAGAAATACTTTTGAAATACTAGCAAAACTGCTCTCCCTGTTTTGTGTCTTTATCGTTCATTAGACGTAGCACAAAGATGGAAGGCGCCGAAAGCGCTAATAACCGAATGCAGCTTGTACGAGTATCGAAGCGTTTGTCGGTCGACGAGTGTAGAAAGTGCAGCAGCGAGCGGATCGTGGGATAGGCAAGTCGGCGGCGGCGTTTCGATCTCGGGCGCGAAGGCCGTGAATTTAGCAACGTACGTATGTCCGGACGGACGGACGGACGAGAAGATAATCGTCGCGCGCGGCGCTCGTCGATTATCTCGACGAGTCCAAAAGGGCAACGTGATTGCGGGGTACCAACGTCAGGTCGAACGGGCGAGATGCGAGGATGGGCGAACGAAATTGGTCGCTCCTTCCGCGTTAACGTACCGCCCGGCAGCCGGTCGTAAACGCGACAATTCCGCCTCGCCGAAACACGTCACGGCGTCAGATCGCTCTCTCTCTCTCTCTCTCTCTCTCTCTCTCTCTCTCCCCCCGAAGTATAGAAATATCCGCCGGCAAACGACGCGAGGGAAAAGAAGCGCCGAGGCATTTCAGTCAGTCTCCCCTTGTCTGTCCTTTCTTGCTCTGCATAAGTCTATCTCCATCTCTTTCTCCCTGCACGGCGACGATCGATCGGCCGTTACTTCCGCTCGCGCGGATGCAGATTTTCCTCCGTTGCTGCGGAAGAAACTCGACGAGGAGCACGGAGAAGTAGAGACGGCCATGCCGGATCGATAATCGCGGGGAGTCGGGGCAGTCTCCGGGGCGGCATGAGCGAAGTACGCTTCGACCGACGAAGGCTGACAATGAACGGTCGACGAAGAGAGGGAGACGGATGTATAGATAGCGAGAAAAGGAGAGACAGAGAAAGAGAGAGAGAGAGAACGAGGCTCCCGCCGATCCTTCCAGAAAAGGAAATCCGTCCTGCCGGCGGCTGAGACAAATGGAGTGTGCAGACCGCCGAGGGCGAGTTCAAATGCGTAACCTCTCGCGAATTGCGCATCTCTTTAACGGGTTTACGCTCGTTGCACGTGCGCTCGGCGGCGACGCGTCAATGCGGCGAGAGACCGAGAGCCCTCGCGAGCACGGACGAATCAGACACGGCAATGACGACGACGACGACGGTGACGGTGACGAACGAAATTTACGCATAGAGAGAACGAAGCACGTAACGTCACGCGCGGCGTAATCATTTTCTCGAAACTTCTCTCGCGGCACAGACGATGGAGAGAGTACTTACCATCTTGTGGTGCTCCTCTTTTTTTTCTTTTTTTTCTTTTTATCTGTTTCTTTTCACGTTCCGGTCACGCACGAGAAGGCTCGGCTCGCGCTAACACACGCGTTTACCCCGCGCACTGGACAACAAGATGAGTGTATTTTGATCACAACCTCCAAGGGGTTTACGCGTCGGTCGTTACGATCCGGTCGTGCGCTAAAAGTAAAACGGCTCGCTGTGCTCGGGCCGGGAAGGAGGAGCGAAACGTTCGTAAAACCGTGGCACACGGGCAGACGCGCAGGTAACGGCGGAACACCAAGTCCGGCGAGAAACGCACTCGGGACAGCAATGGAGTCCACCGTGTCTTTCTCGGTCTGCGAGGCTCTCTGTGGGCCGCCGCCGCTGGTTCCGCAACCCGGATATCCCTACGCCGTCCCCTCACGGGCTGCACGACGGC